ATTATTTAATTGCATGGGTATTATGATTTGAAAATTTTAAACGAAGTGGAACAATAATTATGGAAGTCACTGTATATTATGGATAGCAGCGAACAAATATATAATTTTTATTTTTAGCTGAGACAAAGTCATATATGAATTGTGATGCAATATTATAAAAGCTCTACATCAAGAGCGAACTTAACATGAAACAAATCAATGGGAATAGAATCTCAAAATTAGTTGGCACCCATCATAAAGACAATCCAGTTGAATATTGATAAACATTTTGTCCAAGTTGTGGGTTGATTGGATTTCCCTCACGGTCTTTTGTTTCAAATTTGTACTAAATTAAAGAATAAATTAAATTTGTTTTCAATTCTATGCTAAAGTACATAATAACATAACATACTATTGTTAGGTTTAATGCTGTTCGAACATTTTTGCAATAATGCCAGGCCTATTAACATTTCGGATAATTTGTTTTCGGTTTATAAATTTTGTTTAGAGTTAATTATTGTCGTAAGGCATACTTGTTGCATTTCGCTTGAATTATTAGCATAATTTATTAATTAATAATCAAAAGAAGTGAAATAGACGGTCTAATTCGTGGTATAATTCTTTCTAATTCATAAAATCTTTTTAATAAAAGGTTGTTTCATCCCCCATTACATAGAATGATACTTTGTACGATTTAATTTATAAATATTTTTATTAATCGGAAAATTGATGCGTTGTAATTTTTTGAACAATAATTGTCTAATTTGAACCAAGAACTTGATCATAAGTTAATATACAGTAAATCTAAAATAGCTTTAACAAAGATCATCCATCCAGCAAATGGATCGTTTTTGATTAGCGAAACGTTGCTTTTTGATTATAGAAGTTTGTTGTACAAACCATGTGGCTTTTTTGATTATTAAAAAAAAAATGTGGCGTTTTTGATTAATGATGTTGATTAAATACCTAATTTGAAAATATCACATACGTGATATTTTGACGATGATAGTTTTTTGATTATCAAACGAATATTATAACTTTTATTTCTTTTATTAAAAAAAAAAAAAAAAAAAAAAAGCAAGCAGAAAAAACAAACGATTAATCATCGTTATTCATATAAATGCCAAAATCCATGCTATCGGTCATAATTTTTCTTGCATTATACATTCATCAAGATTAACTAATTTGTTATCATAAAAAGATCTAAAAAAATTTTTTGAATTTTTTTAATAAAAAAAATATTTGAATCTGACGTTTCTTCTACCAAACAAAGAAAATCTAATCTTCCTTGATTTAATCTTCGTAACTTATCCAAAGCCAAATTATTTTCTGTTTGCTTTAAATATAATAAAAATTTAATAAATTAAAATTAAAATTTAAAATAAAAATTATATTTTTCTTTAAAAAAATTTACTGGTTCGATTGTTTGAGTATTAAATAATGTAACTAATTCAGATTCGAAAATATTTGGTCCACTTTCATTTGTTATAATTTTACGATAAAATTTTATTCCATACATGCGTTCCACAAATATTAATGGTGTTTGATTACCACTATATACTGCTTCAATTGTTCGATTGATTCTTTCTGTAAAATTGTTTGTTGTCCATGGTAAACCATTTGTCAAATCATTAGGAATACGTCATGCATCAATAAAACTTAATCTCCATTCAGAACACATCCAATTCTTTAATAAATCATTTATGATTTTTTCTTTTTTATTTTTTTCAATAGACAAACTATTTATAAATTCATTAAATAGTTTGGTCATTTCAATTGCAGCTGTTTCAGTCCGACAATGTCCTATAAATTTAAAAGCTAATGCAATTGGATATCTAAATAAAATATAAGTAATTAATAATTAAAAATAATATAATATAAAATTTTAAAATTTTAAATTAAAATTTTACCGAAAATTTTCAGGTATAACATTTTGAATTGCAAGTTTTGAGGGTCGATGCTTATCGATCATTACATAAGGCATCCAATCATCATTTTGACATTCAGGAACTTGTCGAAAACCATTTTCTGATACTAAATCCTCATAATACTATTTGTGTTGACATATTGTGCTATTACAAGAAATATTCTTTTTAATAGCTTCGATTGCTAATTTTATAGTTAAATGATTTTCTTTATTACTTAAAGCTATTTATTATTTAATTAAAATAATTATATTAGAATATTATTATAAATATATAATATAATAATAATAATAAATTAATATAATTACCGAATGTAAGAGGTAAACCATGACCAGCCTCATTTTCAGAAACAATAGATAATACAGGAGCACGATCTATATTTGCCATCAATTCCAATACATAATTTTCCATAATCTCGACCATTTTTTAATCAAAATTCATCTGAAAATGTTAATTGATAATATCGATCAGATGAATCAATAGGTTTATTAAGATCTGGTATTTGATAATATAAAATATAACCATGAGATTTTAATTCATTTACAATTAAATAATTAAGTTATGTCCATGGACCCAAATTATCTTTGAATGTTGTCAAAATTTGTTATTATCACAAATTTACCGTTGATTTGGTAAGGCTTTACTAATTACTTCTTGTGAAGCACCATTAAATGGAGTTAATATTTTAGCTTTAATACCCTTGGTGATTCTATGGTCTACTCTTCGACTAATAGCTATTGAATCTCTAATAGCATAAGTCAAATTAATTCAAGAAATTTTTGGTGTATTATTTACATATTGTGCTGGATTATGTGATCATTGAATTCTAATATGTAATGGAGTTCCATGACAAGCGACATTCAGAAATTACTTTAACACTACATATCATTGGCATTTTTTAAATTTTTAAGAAAAAAATAGTTTAGTTGTCTATTCTAAATAGTCTACTGCTCCTTGTACACGTTCAATAGTTATAATTCCTGCTTTAATTAATGCAGGTGTAATTTGTCTACTTTGATTTTTTAAGCGACAATTTTCTAGAATAGGTAAATTTGCTAAATACCACTCAGCAGCTCGACCAAAAGGTACATTTACTGAGCCATCATTATTATATTTAACTTGTTCTTCATAACTTTCCATATCAAATAAATATGCAAAATAAAAGTATATAATAACAAAAAATAAGTTTAAAACTTGTAAAGATAAAGTCAAGTTAAACATGTAAGGTAAAAGAAAAAGAAAACTTGTAAAAGATAAAGCTAAATTAAACGCGTAAAATAAAAACTTGGCATTAAGTTTATATATTAATAGTAAAAAATCTTTTCGCGTTCTATATAAAATAAAATTTTTAATTTACACTTTTATCAACAATATCACATATGTGATATTTTCAAATTAGGTATTTAAAATCAAAAACGCCACATTTATTTTTAATAATAAAAAAAGCCACATAGTTTGTACAACAAACTTCTATAATCAAAAAGTAACATTTCGCTAATCAAAAACGATCCATTTGCATCCATCCACCCTTAGTCATTACCCTGGACTCGAGTTTTATGTTAGGTGTCGACCGCAACACTTCGAGGTAAACTGCGTGAACCTTCACAACCGTTGCTCATGTGACAATATAATGTTTTAGTGACGGCAAATTTTTACGCAGAAAAAAATCGAAAGCAAAAGCCCGATGTGGGCTAATCAGCAATTTAGCACAAATTTAGATAGTGTAATTAAACAACCACCTCAAACACTCTTCTACACCAAATATCATTTCATGGAGATACGCTAACCTTATACAATATACGAAAAAATCAATCAAAAACAAACTCTTTATTTAGTGATTGTTTTTTTGGATTTGATGGTGATGCAGTTGGCAAATCTATACTTGTCAACCAAGTTGCCTTACGTGGGCTGTTAATAAGGTAACGATAATACATTGTCATTCGTAACTGCATTAAATTGTTATATAGTTAGAATTACAAACAATTCTTTTCATAGATTAAAATTAAACTGATCTACCTTAAACTTCTTTATTACTTCAACAGCATTTCCAATCTCTGAGAAGCATACACTTGAATTTGGTAGAATAAATGCATCAAATTCATCAACAACATACATGTTATTGATCAAATGCATACTCAAAAAATGATATTCGCATCCTATCCACATTGATCAAGTTAGCTAATGGTTTTTAATATAATAATCATAAGGGCTTGTATCAACACCTACCATATACTAAAATTGAAAATGATTGTAAACTTGAGGCATTCTTACTATATGCATATTGATATCGAAGTGAAATCATCATAGCTATAATTAATAGAGAACCAAAATCAGTTAAACATCGTATTAAACTTCTAACCAAATTATGTTATACCTTTCAATAATTTCGTCAAATCATCGTTTTTGAAGTTGTTATTGTTAATTAATGCATTACCGACTACTTCGAAGAATCCGACTTCAACTTTTGAACCATGTACATTCATATATATAACACCGTCGTGTTTGTCTCCTAATTTTTCACGCTCATTGTCTGTCTTTGAGAAGTTTCGTTGCCGTTTTCGCGTTCCATTTTCAATCTCTCCACTAGTTTATCACATATAAAGAATTCAGTTTCATAACTGGAAATGAAAGCTTTCATCAGAAACTTACGTATCAATCCAGATTGCATCTTCTACATCGTAAAAGATTGTAGATAAAAGATGGTTAACTAACTCATCTCTGTAACGGAATTCACTCGCAGTTTTGTCTTTCAAAACACTACGATTACGGAGGAATTGATGAGTCCTGATATAAAAAAAAATTTAATTGTGTATGACATGATATTCATGGTAAACCATCACAAAACCTACATCCGTTTATATAAGTCTTGGCACCAAAATAACTCATAATTGCTTCGGTGCTGGTATTCGTTAGATGGTTGCTTCATAAAAGCCGTAAAAAGTTCATTAAAATCAATATAGAATGTAGTATTGTCCATCTTTTCTTCAAGAATTTTAAGATATTCATCGACTTGTTTTTTCAATGTACATTTATTCCAAGATTCCTGAATTGTTTCTTGTCTCACAGATTTTTCGGCCTTATCGTTATTATAGTATGTTTGTTAAATCAATGCTCATAATTCCAATATAAATATAAAATAAACTTACCTCTATCCATTCATTTTTTAACTTTTGCATTTGTCCAGTTGATAATACCGTAAAGAGTTTTTTAGAATAAGGAAATTCGACATCAAAGAGGCAGATGACATTATATCGTTCCAGATGAGATTTGGTTTCCAAATTTGCCAGAATCTGATCAAATTCATCCTTATTTTTAGTAAGCGATACAGAAAGTAGAATTAACGATATAGTATAAAGTAGAAACTAAGCTTGCCTCAACTTTTGGAGTATTGAATATGTTCAACGTAATCTGATCTTCGTCTTCTGAACTGTCAAAATCTTCCTCATCCGTTGATACTGTAATAGTATTAAAAATTTTAACATTATGTTCACGTTATTAGGTATGTTTGCGCTTTCATTGACTGAACAAAGATCATATTTCTGACAAGTGCATTACGGTCACTGAAATAATAAACATACTTGATTGTCTCCGCTTTTTGTTGGTTGATTGTTCTACTTCTTTGTTCATAAACATGCGCTGTTTACTGTTCGCAATGCTCTTCTCCTTGTTGGAGGATCTTAGTTGAATAAAGCTATGTCGAGCCTAATGCGATTTTCATAATTTTGAAATCAGAATACAAAATGTTACATAAGACCCAAAAATAACATACCATCTCTATCTTCTCTTTATCCTTAATTCTGCGCAATCTTTTAGTTTTATTTATTTTACTTGACATTCTGTTTGCAAGAAAAGCAATTTAGGCTTTAGTGTTTAAGACTGACTTTGACGCGTCGCGTCTTTTAGTATTCTTTTCCGTGATCAGCAAATACCACCGGCATTATAGAAACTTGGCCGAAATTAATCATGTTACAAATAACGTGACAAATAGGATATTTCACATTCAACCTGTTATTGAGATACAAAACGTAAGTCTCCTTCCTGAATGTGTATCTCCACAGTTTTTATGTGTAGAGAACGTTTACGGCTGGCCAGTTCGCTGGACTAGTGAAGCCGGGTTTAAATGGACCCTAGTTCGTACATGCCTGTTGCAAATTCTACAGATCGTAGAACGTTTACGGCTGGCCAGTTCGATGGACTTGTGAAGCCGGGTTTAAATGGACCCTAGTTCGCGCACAGGCGGTTGCACTTCGAAGAGAGACGTTTATTTATCACATAATCTCACTCTTTATTATTTTCATTCACGTTGTACTTAATATTTACATTATTAAATTTGAAGTATAAGGCTCGATATGTCAAAATCCTAGAAGATTGTAGACGAAACTTTATTATTACCATTGAGGCCAGCTAAGTAATAACATTATGTGGAGTAAGCAAATATATGACATGCTTTTAAGGGAGGAAGGGAATACGCCATAAATGCGAGTCCCTGCGAAAATTTATTTCTTTGTTTTCGCATATTTCTACACTATTTTTTTTTTTTCTACCTATATCACTATTATTGCTAACTATGAGATTCTCACACCCCAAAGTCATATACATTGTAAATAGTATTTTTCATCTATCTATATCATTCCACCCCACAGACCAATTCCGCAAGTGAATTCCGGAAATTAGCAGCGAGGTAAAAAAAAAAAAATAAGACAAGGTGAGGTTTCCGATTCACATTCATTTTCATAATATTCCACAACACCTCATGACCAATAAATTTGTTGCATAGTACAATACTGCGCCAAATTTTCGGCGAAGATCAAAAATGCCGATATATAGCAAGGAAAGTAATGATCGTATTGTTTTGTGAACATCTATAGAGCCGGAAATTGATTAACGTTGTGGTGACGTCGTTTGAATGATAATATTAATGATGTAAATAATTATTTGATTATTTTTTCGTTTTACTTGCATAAGGCAGATAAAAGGATTCACTAACAGGGACATCACCTTTTTATATAATTCACAGAATCGATTTTGTTATACGCTTTTGCGTGAAATTAAATCTGATCAACGGCTCCTTCTTAATTTAATAATAAAAGAATTTAACGCTATATTTAAATATCATCCAAGGGTCCCTTTTAATAATAATACATGTAAGAATTTTGAGAATATTCGAGAAATTATTTTGCACGATTACTTATTCCTGTGATACGTGTGAAATATGTTGATAAAGTTACAATAAAACTTGATCGAAAAAAATATATTAGCATGCAAGCTTCCCACAATCCTTCCATTATTAATTACGTCTTTGAGTACGAGAAAAATTTACATAATACAGGTCAAAACTGCTACATGATAACACTATTCAGACTAGTTCTTTGAAATGATAAAAATTGCCATTATACTACCTCTCCTTTAATGATATTTTCTGC